TGTTGAGTTGGTTCCAAGACATAGCAATCTTGTATAAGGTTTTCAAGGCTGTAAATCTTTAGGGGAGCAGAAAGTATCATCTTTCTTCTACAGAGCAGGTGGTGAACTCAAACTGCTGACCTTGCAGTTAGCAGACCAATGCATAACCCATTATGCTACACGTTTAAGCCACTGTTGTTTTGGATCTTTGTTAAAGCGGAACTATATCCTCAAAAAAACCAAACTCACTGCCATCAAGTTAATTCTGACTCAGAGTGACTATTTCTATAAATCGTATCCTGGCTAATGAATATCTGGCCCGTAAGGGAAGTCTTTTGAGGAATCTCTGGGAAAGGTTTTCATCCAAGATAAAAAGCCACACAAGAAAAGGAAACATGTAGCTTCATCCTGCTGGATGGCAACCTACCTGCCTGACTCCTAAAGGTGCTGCAGCCATCTTGTCAACAAAGTAGGAAAACGTAAGGAACTTAATGACGATGTTAAACTGCTCAGTTTACTGGCCCTGAAATCACTTCCCTTTGGACTTCTGTCTTGGAAGATAATGCATTTTCCTTCCTGTTTAAGCCATCTTTGTTTAGATGGTCTTATTTGCAGCCCAAAATATAACAACTCATACATCCTATGTTTGCTCAAGCTGTTCCCTCTGCCCAGGGGGTCCCTTCGTGCATACTGTGGGTTTGGTGAATGGCTCTTGATTCTGCCTTTCCCAAACGAGGGAATCAGACATCTGCTTGTCTCGTATCAGACATCTTTCTCTCTAAACAGATCAGGGTCAGCATATACACTGCCTATCTATTGCCATCACCCCCTCCTGCCCTGTGATTAACGCTGATAACCCAGCACTTTTTCCTGCTGGAAGTAGATCTGGTTTTATAATCCTCTACACTCTACTCCAGGCAGCCCCTGCCAATCAACTAAAGGAGGCTTGAAAGAGATGAATCCTATTTGCTACAACTGCTCAGTCTTTGAGGGTCTTTGTTTTACTCATCTTTTTTGATTCACAAGCTAATTTTCATAATAAGCATTATCATTGTGTGCTTCTGTTTCCACTTAATGCATTCTGAGATAGGCCCTATCATTATTCTGGTTTTGACACATGAGGACTGAGGTTCTGAGAGAAGAGGTAATTGGTTCAAGGTCATATGAAGGGGCTTCAGAAGTTTGTGGGAAAAAGAAATTAAAATAAAGGATTTTTTCCATGAGCTTTCTGAAGCCCCATTGTACACATTCAAACCTAGGTCTTTGTGACTTCAGCCGCTTCCACTGACAGTTTACTAAGCACTTCATTTGTTCATAAGGAGCCCTGGTGGCACAGTGGGTTATATGTTGGACTGTTAACTGCAAGGTCAGTAGTTTGAATCCACCAGTTGCTTCACAGAAGAAAGAGGAGAATTTCTGATCCCATAAAAATTTACAGTCTGAGAAATTCTACATAGGGTACTATGAATTGGAATCAACTTAATGGTAGTAGGTTTTAGTCACTTGTTTGGTACCCTGGGGTGGGCGCTGCGGGGAAGAATGGTACAGTTTTCTGTTTCTAATAATATTTGGAAAATACATTGTCCTATTTGAGATTGGTAGCGTAGTGGTTACAAATCGGGCTGCGAACCTCAAGGTCAGCAGTTTGAAACTACCAGCTGTTCCGCGGGAGAAAGATGAGGTTTTCTGCTCCCGTAAAGATTTACGGTCTCGGAAACCCTGTACAGGATCTCTATGAGTCGGAACCGACTCCATGGCACATAACAACAACAACTTGAGATTACCAGCAGTTTAAAAATTTCCCTTTTGCAGATGGGCAAGCTGAGGCCCATAGAAAGGAAGAGTCAGAGCAAGTGAGCATATTTCATGCCCTGCTACTACACTGAGGATGAGAATTCTGGACTTGCTCAAAGGGTTAAGTGGGAGTGTTCATGCCTGGATCAGAGTCAGGGAGCTGGGTCACGCTTCCTGGCCTCTTCCTGATGGCCCTGCAGGCTGAGTGATCTCCTTCTCTGTTGCCAGGAGGTGACCAGTGACCAGCAGGATATAGGAGAGCAGGAGGAAGTAGCTGTCTGAGCCAGCTCTAGGCAGCATGGGTCATTTCCCTTGGAGGGAGGGAGAAGAGAGATAGAAGGCAGTGGCTAGGCAGGGAGCTGTGTGCTTGGCACAGAGATGCTTCCAAAATCACTTTCAAAGCAGTCCAATGCAGTGCCTTCTGCTCCTTACAGTTCATAACCATTTCCTCATCTCTGGCTTTGTCTTCTTTCCACACCTCTGACAAACAGGGCAGGGACTTTGGGGGACTGTTGTTCCCACTAAAAAGATGAAGTTGAGACCGAGAGTGTATACAATAAGCCATTTGCCTTGGATAACATAGCAAATTTGCTCCAAAGCTTGGGTCTCAGATGGATGGGTTAGTCCTGCCCTGTTCAACTGTGTGGTAAGCAACACTAGGCTTTAGATCTGGACCAGCCAGAAATCCCAAATCACTGTGTGACCTCTGTGAGCCAGGTTCTCTATTTAAAAAATCTGTTGTCGTAGGGATAACAATGGTACCCCAACTTTGTGAGGAATTAGTGAGATGAAATATGTGAAATAATTAGCATAGAGCCATAAATGGTGCCTTGCCTCCCTAATACTCTCCCAAATGATGACAATATAGGTCAGGATTCATGGACAATGTTGTTATTGTTGGGTTCCATTGAGTTGGTACTGATTCATAGCCACCCTATGAACAACAGAACGAAACACTGCCTGGTCCTGGGCCAACCTCACAATCATTGCTACATTTAAGCCCGTTGTTGCCGCCACTTGGCCAATCCATCTCATTGGGGGTCTTCCTCTTTTTCTCTGACCCTCCACCTTACCAAACATGATATCCTTCTCCAGTGACTGGTCCCTCCTGTCAATATGTCTGAAGTATGAGAGACAAAGTCTGGCCATCCTGACTTCCAAGGAACACTCTGGCTGCACTTCTTCCAACACAGATTTATTTGTTCTCCCAGCAGTCCATGGCACTTTTAATATTCTCTTACAACTGTACAAGACCTTTTTAAAGTGTTCAAGAGCAAAGATGTCAGTTTGAGGATTAAGGTGCGCCTTAATGGTATTTTCAATAATTTCATATGCATGTGAAAGTTGGACAATAAATAAAGAAGATCATAGAAGTATTGATGCATATAGGTTATGAGGCTGGAGTAGCTAGATAAATAGTTAATGTTTATTGGTTACTTAGTAAGGGTAAGGCCCCATACACAGGGTACAGTGGGGGTACAGTGGATCCATAGGATAAGCACTGGACTTAACCACAAGGTCGGTGGTTTAGGCCCGCCAACTGCTCTGCAGGAGAAAGGTGAGACTTCTGCTCCCACAAATATTAATAGCCTAGGAGATGCTTGATATATGGGGATCCTATGAGCCTAAATAGTGGTTACGAATCGGGCTGCGAACCTTACGGTTAGCGGTTCGAAACTACCAGCTGCTCCGCGGGAGAAAGATGAGGCTTTCTACTCCTGTAAAGATTTACACCCTCGGAAACCCTGTACAGGGTCGCTATGGGTCGGACCCGACTCGATGGCACTTAACAACAACAACAACAACATGAGCCTAAATGGACTTGGGGATACATAGCAAAACACTAAGGATACTTAATAAGTACTTAAGGAGTTCTATTCATGGGTGGCACAAATGGTTAAGTGCTGGAATACTAATTGAAAAGTTGGTGGCTCACACCCACCCAGAAGCACCTTGGAAGGGCAGGCAGTCTGCTTGAAAGCCTTATGGAGCATGGTTCTACTCTGTACACATGGGGTTGCCATGAGTTGGAATCCACCCAACAGCAACCAATGACAACAAATAAGTGTTCACTTAATAAGTGAACTCTTGTAAGTGCATTCAATCCTAACAACACCATGCCTTAGTTTCCTCACGTGTAAAATGGTCTAACCACTATTATGCCCATTTTACAGATGAGGAAACTAAGGCATGGGAGGTTAAGGCCCTTGCTAAAAGTCACATCCTAATGAGTAGCAAAGGCAAGATTTAAATCCAGAAAAGTCCACACATGTGAGATGGCTTCAAAAAGTTCATGGAAATGAATAAAGAGAAATACTGTTAACTGATGGTACATGGAGGGGAATTATAATCATTGTAATGAAACAAGTTGTATGATTTGTTGAATGTAAAACTGATGATCTGCCCTGTAAACTTTCACTCAATTCACAATAAAAACGTAAAGAAAAAAAAAGTTCATGGAAAAATGGAATTAGAAGATAAAGGAGTTTTTCCACAAGTTGGCTCTGACTCATAGAGACCCTGTATAGGGTTTCCAATGAGCAGCTGGTAGGTTTGAACTGCTGAGCTTGTGGATCGCAGTCCAGTGCTGATCCTACTGTGCAACACCAGATGTCCTTAATTTTAAAAAAAGTTTATATTTATATAAAAAGCTATTAATCATAGCTTGCTTGGACACAGGAGTCTAGTTTAAGAAGCACTTTCTCTCTAGCTCATTCACATAGGCATTTGTCACCACAGCATCCCAGGGAGGGAGACCGTGTTTGCTCACAATATATAGGGAAAGGGGGAAGCTGAGGCTCTGGAAGGGAGCACTGACTTGCCTTGTCAAGGTCACACAGAAAAATCATTGGCAGAAGTAGGGCTTTAACTTGGGGTTTTCTAACTCCAAATTCATAGCCCCCATTGAGAAGACCCTTTCCCAGCCTCTCCCCACAACCCTAAGCCTCCTCAGCAGTCACACTTCTGACTGGAGGCCTCTGGGAGTTCTCCCTCAATCAGTTGTTGTGCCCAGGCCCCCACTATTCAGCTGTCGGGTCCCCAGACTGTGTCCTCCATTATCATACGCCCTCCCGGCCTCTGTTCACTATCAGACAGGAGGGGCAGGAACTCCCAGCCAGCAGGCCTGGTGGAGTTTCCGATCAGGCAGGAAAAAGGACAAAGGAACAGTTTGAGGCCGGTGGGGATGGTCAGAAGGGTAGCAGCAGGAGTAAAGAGGACACTTTGCCATGGAATATGAAGTCAAGAAAGGGAAGAAGGTAGGTGAAAGTGGGAAGAATGCAGGGAAGACAAAGGTCCCTGAAAGGGGACTAGGGAGCAGTCTGGGGGAGGGGTGAATGGCATGAGTGGGCAGCAGATATGTGGGCACCAAACTCCTAACCTCAGGAATCTCTGCTATCCCTGCAGTGGACAGATGGGTCAGGTAGACTTGGAGTGGGAGATACCCCAAAATGGCCTCCACGGCATGCCTGGTGGTTCTGCCCTTCGGCTTTTCAGATGGAATGATGACGGGATGGACAGACAGCAGCAGACCAATTCTTATTGCCCCTCTTCTTCAGACAGAGGGATCTCTGCCAGTCCAGTTCTGTATTCTGAGGCTGCCCATCCATGCTTGAGTCCCCAACCTGCTCCTCTTCTATGTTTCAATCTACCTGTACCCCTCCCCATCTTTACACAAGTACCCCATTCCTCAAGTCTCTGCCTGGGAGTCAACCCCTCCCATCTTCATGTTTTCCTGACTCTGAAAAGGCTTCTGGTCTGGGTCTCTGGGGTCGCGTCTGGCTCTGGGTGGGTTTCTCACTTTGTTGTCTTTGGGGTTATGATTCCCACAGCCCCTACCTCTACCTCTACATCCCAGGAAGCTGGGTAGAGTTATTCCAAAGTATCCAGGTAAATCATGAAAGGCTAAGAAGGGAGCCAAGATATACACACATACTATCTCTTGGTTCATTCCTTCCATAGGTATTTCTTGAGCACCTACTATGTGCCAGGGCTAGTGATGCTGTAGTGGTGAGCAAAGTCAGACAACGACACTGCTTCATCCCTTGGAGCTCTCAGTCTAGTGGGGGAGATAACTATTAGGTTTTATTTTTAAAGCAATTAATGTGGAATTGCAGAAAAGGTCTCATACACAGGGCTGGGAGATAGAATATTAGCAGTAGGCTAATGCACTGGACCACGAGGTCGGTTTGAACCGCAAGGTCAATGGTTTAATCTCACCAGCTGCTCCTTGGAAACCGATACAGGATAGCTTTGAGCTGGGACCAACTCCATGGCACTTAACAACAGTCCTAGACCAGTCATTTTGAGCTAAGATTTGAAGGTGGAAGGAAACAGGGTAGAGAAGAATGTTCTGGGTAGAGGAATGTTATTATTGTTGTTAAGTGCCGTCGAGTCGGTTCCGACCCATAGCGACCCTGTATAGGGTTTCTGAGGCTGTAAATCTTGATGGGAGCAAAAAGCCTCATCTTTCTCCCACAGAACAGCTGGTAGTTTCGA